GGCCACAGCTCCCTCTGCTCCACTTCTGCCTGTACTGACCACGTGGTGGGCTCTGGGCTCACCAGCGTGAGCCCCACTCCCGCGACGTGGAGAGAAAGAAACGCCTTGCGCACGTGGTTTATGTGCAATGGCGGAGATGTGTCAGGTCTTAACATTTTAAACAAAACTTTAAAAATAAACCACAACATGAAAGCACTTTGAATGAAAAGCCTGGAACGAACTCAGAAGCTCATTTGCTCCCCGAGGCGGCCTCTGGGTGAGGCGTCGAGCCATTGATGCACCAGCTCTAATGAATGGAATCGCACACTCCGCCTCAGACACAGGTTCCAGCGTCAGCAAGAAACTACCCAATGTCTAGCTGGCAAAGTGCTCCTGAAATAGAGGCGGGTTCTCTGTCCTGCCTTGGTGCACACCACACGGCTCTTCAGGGTGAAGTCTCACCTTCGCAGTGTCTGACTGCCCTGAGAGGCACACCCACATCACACCTGCTTCACCCTCTCCCACAAGGACAAGTGGGGAGAAACCCCCGCTACACGGCCAGCCCAAGGTGCAGAAGGCAAGGATTTGGGGCCAAAGGTGTTTCATCCAATGGGGGCCTAGAGCCGTGTGAACCTGAGCAGCCACAGCCTGCAGGCAGCTCATCCTCGGACCCGTGACCCCGCTCAGCCCTTCGGCTCGGGGTGCCCTACACCTCGGGGATGGGCAGCCCGGGTTCGTCAGCACTGTGAGAGGTCTTGTGGCCCAGGAGGGGCCATAGAACCTGTGTCAGAGAATGACCACGGGGAACGCACACGTTATATCCAAACAGGAATTCACCTGAAAAGACGAAGCTGCTGATTTTCCAAAACACATGTTAACAGCCCGGGACTCTTCATCGTCTAGAAAGGCCATCGTTTTGAGTGAACGGGGAAATCAATGGTCGTTAGAACCATCGCCTGGAAGGAGCGCTAATTATTTGCGTCGACACGAGATGTAAATCCGTGGCCAGGCTCTTCCATGATTTATGAGACAGCGTGTCCTCTGTAAAATGGAAATTTACGACACACGCTTCCGAAGTGATTTATCAGCCACAAGAATCAATGGCCTTGCAATCTGTGAAAACTGTGTTTTTATAAACAGCCGGGAAACGTACGTAAAACCAGAGGTCAGCACGTAGACGGCTCCTTCACGGGAAGAGGCATCCGCTGTCCAGGATGGATTTCTGAAGGTTAATCAAAAAAAATTTCCTTCAGAAATCCATCTTGTAGTCGTCCAGCCCAGCACCTCGAGATGACAGATGGTACTAACAAGGTGGTCATTTAATGATAATTAATGATGGAGGCAACACAGAAAGAATGGGCTCAATTTTCTACTGATTTAAAAAAAAACAATGCGTCCTACATGAGTTGCTCAGCCCACGCACTCAGCACATGCACAGACACTGCAGGTACATCCACGGCCCCTGCACCTGCCGCCTCGCTTGCTCCCAATGCTGCTTGGAAAGGGGATATATTTGAAGGGCAGCACCTGTCAATCAACCTTACCGCTGCTTTTGCCGTAACGTGATTGGGTGAAGGGAGAGATAAAAGCAAGGAAGAAAGTGTGAGATTCGGTGAATAAAGAATGTAGAGATAAAAGCTGAAAAAATCAGGGAAGGGAAGAAGGACATTTGTATGGTGGTGGCTGCTTGTCTGACAGAGAAGAGCGCCGCGTTGCGAAGACCGCGTTCCTTGCTTTTGAAGTGATAACGTTCTCCGCAGCCACTGGGGTCTTGGGCTGAGAGCTACTTCTGGTGGAGAGATACCGCCCTCGGCGCATGTGCAGCGCGGGGACCACGGAGGGTTTCGGAGAAATCCAGCCCATTCGCGATCGTGTTTTCTCCAAGGGACCCCGATGGAATGGTTATGGCCTCAAGAGTGACCACGAACGCGAAGTGGGACCCCGATGGAATGGTTATGGCCTCGAGAGGGACCACGGACGCGAAGTGGGACCCCGATGGAATGGTTATGGCCTCGAGAGGGACCACGGACGCGAAGTGGGACCCCGATGGAATGGTTATGGCCTCGAGAGTGACCACGGACGCGAAGTGGGACCCCGATGGAATGGTTATGGCCTCGAGAGGGACCACGGACGCGAAGTGGGACCCCGATGGAATGGTTATGGCCTCGAGAGGGACCACGGACGCGAAGTGGGACCCCGATGGAATGGTTATGGCCTCGAGAGGGACCACGGACGCGAAGTGGGACCCCGATGGAATGGTTATGGCCTCGAGAGGGACCACGGACGCGAAGTGGGACCCCGATGGAATGGTTATGGCCTCGAGAGTGACCACGGACGCGAAGTGGGACCCTGATGTTGCAAACACACCGTGAGCAGAGAAATGCGTGTTTTCTGCGGAAGGTGCCCTCCTCCCACATCACCCGGATTCGGATTCCAGGGCTGAGCACGGGCACGGACACGGGCGGCGTTTGCGGAAGGCGGTGCATGCTCACTGCTGTGGTCACTGTGTCCTTGTGCCATCCTGGTCGCTCCTCACTGGGCCTTTCCTGTTCGCGACGGTGCAGATGCCCACAGGGGTGCTCTGTTCCTGGTTGTTTCCCTGAGACACAGGCACAGAGCCAGCGGGGCTCCCTGGGTGCGTCCGGTGGGAGAGAGACGAGCGATGTTCTTTCCTTACGGGGAGAAGGCCTCCCACTGGCCTCCCGGGATAAACCCAGGCCTGCGGTGGCCACTGGAGGACAGCAGCTGCAGGGACCTGTCAGCCCGCACCACGTGGTCTTGGAGGTGAATTTCAGAGGAGTTACTGCTCTGTCTCCTGCCTCCCCTGCCCCCGGCCTGTGCTGGGCTCAGCAGGGACCCGCCGGAAACTTCCATTCATCGGGGTCCTTTTGCCCTCGGAGTCAGGACGGCCAATGTCCAGCCTTCCTGCCAGAATCGCCACCCTCCAGGGAGGCCCCGAGGCTCTTCTGGTGCATGTTTCCTTCCTCTTTCTTTTTTAAAAAAATATTTATTGTTGAAGAACCATCGATGCCTCCCTTCCCCCCATTGCCCCATCCCCCAACCTGGTTCTCACCCCGCCCCAGGCCCTCACCACCCTACTGTCTGTGTCCACGGGCAGGCGAATATGCATGTCGATTCCCTGGTTAATTTCTTCTCGCACCCGCACCCCCCCGACTTCCATCGGAAACTCCTCGGTCTGTTCCATGTCCCCACGCCTCTGAGCTGCTGTGCTGGTCAGTTTATCTCATTGCTAACATCTGGGTTCTTCACACCAGGGGCCAGTACGGAGCCACTCTCCCATGTTCCCTAGGCTGCGCCCGGGTCTTGGGCCTGGAGCCCCTGGGAAAGGAGGCCCATGTGCTAATAAAAAACAACAACAAAACGGGGTCCTGAGTCCAACTTCCAAGGCAGCTGCAGAGGTTTCCGGAGCCATCGCTGTGAAGCCAGGTGTAGATTATGTCCTAATTAGCACCGTTTTATCTCCTTGGACTTGTGTGCAAATGTTTCACTCACCACGGTCATTGCATGTGTCCTTGGAAACCACCGGTGACACGGTTACGCTCTGGCCACTCTCTGTCACCAGTGTCCCTCGCATCCCCCACGTCTAGTCTCCGTGCATTGGCTGCTCTGTTGCCGGCCTTTCCCGGATCCCTGTGCAGACGCCAGAGGCACTGAGCTGTTGGGGGGCTGCTCACCTCAGTTTCCTGCAGGTTGGCGCCAGTCAACCCTTCGGGGCCCTGGGAGGAGATGGGGCCGTGGCTGGGAAACCAGGGCACAGACTTAGCTTCCTGGTTGCATGGCGGTGGGTGGCGTTCTCCTTACGGTTCATGCTTCAGATCCATCTGATGGAGCAGGGCTGCCATCTGCCCGGGGGGCCGGCACGACCGGCTGGTGCTCTGCCTTTCACGGAAGCCGCTTACCAATCGTCCGGCCTTCTGACCCACTAGGCTCTGGGGTGGGCGGGAGGCCCATCGTTTTCTCGTTTGGGGGTCCTGGTGCCCTTGGGGCTCACGTCAGAGAACGTGGCCTCAGCGGAACAGACGTTCTCCAGGTGTGTCTTGGGGACACTGGAGAACGTTGCTAGGGGAATAATCTCACTTTTGAACAGTCATAGTCTTTATTTGCAAATGAAAGTGGAATTGTTTTCAATGGACCTCTTACCAGACTTCATTCTTTTCAAGGCACTGAGGAGGATTATGGGTTGTTAGGAACACACAGGAAACGATACAGCACTGTACAGGTACAAACACGAGAAACTGGATACAGAAAGTTTGAGGATCAACCCTCCCTAGAACCCACTACAGTTTTTGAGGTTCATTTGTATGCAAATCACTGAATCGGGTAACTGATCAGGTAACTGGATTTATGTCCTTCATATATATTTTAGAGGTAGGAGCCACGTGATGACACACTTAGCGTTTTCATGCAAACTCTGTGCTAGACCAGCCTCAGGGCAGGGGTAAGACATCACCAGGTCACTGGGACATAGATTTCCCCCGTTAGGCGTAGAGAAATTAAAACAAATACTTATCGGTACTCACTGACTAAAACAATGATGGTGCACCTATGACACGTGAACTCATTTTTTTGGTTGATTTTTCTTTGTTAAATGGCATTTAAATAGATAAAATAAATATCAAAAATGTAAGTCTTTGTTTTACTATGGTTGCAAATATCAAAAAATTTCTATATGTGACACAGCACTAGAGTTAAGTTAGGGTTTTCAAAATGCTGACACGCCGAGCTCAAAAGGTTCGTCATCACTGGACTAAAACTTAGCAAGAGTTACGGCAAAACAAGAGAAACGGACAGCGCACGTCGCAGCAGGAAAGCTTTATAAGTAAGTCGCTGGTTGCCATCCACAGAACTTCGCAGGCTAACTGTTCATTAAGAGACAGAAGGAATTCCCAAGCTGAGATCCCCTGTCCCGTCTTTGGCGGGAGAATCCTACACTGTCAGGGGGGGGAGGCCCAGCGACCCTTTGCTGCCGTTCCGTGTTTTCTTACGAGGGAGGCTCTTACCTTGGAACTGGGCGTTGAAGCCTTTGCGCCTGTGGTTGCCGTCGGAGGTGAAGTGCAGGCGCAGCCAGTTCCTGCTGCTGATGACGGGCGAGGGCAGGTTCATGCCCGTGAGCCTGGAAGAGAGGAAGAGACGCCGTGTCAACCAACAGGGCGACGGCCCACATCACACCCGCGCCAAACCCCTGCCCGGCTACGCCCTCGCTCTGCGCTGCGTGTGCAGCCGGACCCATCGGGGATCTCATCTCCGCCCAACGCACAGCTGTGTGCCCGGGGATGCGGGCTCTCAGACACCTGACACTGATTCTCTTTTATGGGCGACACAGACGCAAGAACACTGTCTTCCATGTCTTACTGTTTCACCAGAACCGCAATGTGATGGACTCTGAGAGGGAGAACAGACAAGTGACGGAATGGGCCTTTCCCTGCCTGAACCCTCAGCCAGGGTTTCGCCGGAGGAGACTCGAGTAAGCGGTTTCCGCGCTGGATAGACAGCACGCGGTGGGCGCAGCGCCGTCTGCACAATCAGGACTCGGCCCCGCCCTGCGTGAGGACGGGCGTGTCTGAGATGACGAGAACGGGCCAGGAGCTGCGATCTGGAAGAACAGCGAGTCTGGGGGAAGCAGCAGCTTCAACAGGACGGCCTCTCAAACATCAGGCAGATCCTTCCCGGTGAAGCTGATGAAAGCCCAGCCCACTCCCCGGTGCAGCCCGGCTGTCAGCACCAAGCCAGGGGTTACCCTGCCTGCGGACCTGTGGCACTGGGGGTCCGTGCCTCCCGGGAGCCAAGGGCACTGTGTGCCATGTGCTGTGTGCCATGTGCCGTGTGACATGTGCTGTGTGCCATGAGGTGTGTGCTGTGTGCCTTATGCTCTGTGCCATGTGCCATGTGCTGTGTGCATGCTGTGTTCTGTATGTTGTGTGCCGTGTGCCATGTGGCATATGCTGTGTTCTGTATGCTGTGTGCCGTGTGCTGTGTGCATGCTGTGTGCTGTGTTCTGTATGTTGTGTGCCGTGTGCTGTGTACATATATATATTTTTTAGAATCACTGAACACCTTCATGGAAATGCCTCCTCCCACGGAAGTGTCTGGCCTCCTCTCAGAACCTGTGGTGACGTCACCTCATGTGGAAAAGGCCTCCTGGAAGGTGTGACCCATTCACAGGTCTTGCGATGGAGAGACTGCCCTGTTTATCAGAGGGCCCGATGTAATCAGAGTGAACCTCAAAGGTAGGAGGAGGAGGCAGAAGAAGGGAGGTGCGGGGAGCAGAGGGCCTGGCGCCTCCACAGTCCTCGCTGCGCGGCCTTTAGTGTGGGCCCTGGTTTTCTGAAACGGCTTTAGCAGTGAGAGCTGCCACAGGCCACAGTGGAGAACGGACAGGAATCATGAGCATGAGCAAGATGCAGACCATTTTAGAGAGAAAAGAGGAAATATGAGACCAGAATCTGGGCCTGTTTGTGCACAATACACTATTTATTAATATTTAAAATATATATTTTATTGATTTCAGAGAGGGAGAGAGAGAGAGAAGCATCAATGATGAGAGAGAATCATGGACCGGCTGCCTACTGCACGCCCACTCCCAGGGATCGAGTCCGCAACCTGGGCATGTGCCCTGACCAGAATTGAACCCAGGACCGTTCTGTCTACAGGCCGGTGCTCTATCCACTGAGCCAAACCAACTGACTATTTAAATAATCAATGTATAGACACCAAGGACAATGAGCCGGTGAAATCGGGCAAATCAAAGGCATTTTCACTGAAAGGAAAGGAGGCAGGTGAGGGAAAGACATGTCTCAGTAACCGGCCGGCTGCTTTCTCTGTGCCATTACTTCAGAAACACATTCTCTCAGACACGGTGAACTCCACCTTCTCCCTTAGTCCCCAGGTGAGCTCAGCTCAGCCCAGCCCCATTCAAGGTCCGGAAATGAGTCAGCTTTTGTCGTAACAAACGTCTTCCATCACCTGGTACAGTGATGCAATGACCTGCACCGTCCGCGACCAGCTCGCCACAGGCGCCCCACCTGCTGTCTGCCTTTCCAGGATCGGGGGGGGGGGCTTTCTGATTCTGATGCTTCCCAGGGGGCCCAGATGCAGCTGTGACACGACCATGGGAACGCTAGGCACATCTGGAGACCGCAGCTGCTGCAGACCCAGGTCCCCGTCACCCGTCACGGCACCTGGCCCTGGACACAGGTGTTGGCGGGAGACCCCTCGCAGCGTGTCTCCAAGCGCCATCAGTCTGACCCTCCGTGTGAAACGGGGCATCTATGGGATGCGCCTTACATAATTTTAGCGAAGACAGACTGCGTCCACTGTTAATGCTCGGGCAGATTTGTTAGATCTCGGTCTTATTATTTGTTTGTTGGATGAGAGCAGTAGCACCTTAATTCATCTTTCACTCTCTAAACAGATGATGATGATGAGGAGGAGGAGGAGGAGGAAAATGGGAAATGGATGCTAACCCAGAGTGAGTCCTACCCAAGTGCCAGCCCTGTCATAACTTAATCATTCAATGGTTCCCACAGGCCAATTCGTATTTTTAAAAATATATTTTTATTGATTTCAGAGAGGAAGGGAGAGGGAGAGAGAGAAGCATCAGCGATAAGAGAGAATCATGAATCAACTGCCTCCTGCACGCCCCACACTGGGGATCGAGCCCACAACCCAGGACTGTGCCCTGATGAGGAATCAAACCATGACCTCCTCATTCATAGGCTGATGCTCAACCACTCAGCCACGCCGGCCGGGCTCATTTACTATTTTAATTTGATGCTAAGAGCTGGGGACCTGTGAGGTTCGGTAAGTGGCGGCAGGGCTCACAGGAGCCTGCGCCTGGATTGACCCCGAATCGGTGATTTCTGAGTGTTTTTACTCTGCAGGCGGGTCTCCGCCGCACTGCCTGGAACTCTCACGCTCTGGCTGGTTTCCAAAGTCCAGATGGACGCATGCCTCCTTGGTGTCCAAAAATACTCACCCTCCGTCTCCTCTGAGACACAGAATAAATTTACCGCCTTCGGATGTCACCTGAGACCTTCCATCCCTGGCCTCACCTGACCCCGCAACCTCACTCCCCTCTGTGTCTTATCCATCAATAGGAGGTGAAATGCCACCTTCCGCATGAATTCTCAGATTCCCTCTGTCAGCATCCACCTCTGGCGTCCTCGCAGCCTCTGGGTGTCAGCAGCATGCACCATGCCCCAGGTTTTATAACAGGGCCAGCCGTTTGGACGTCTGTCCCCTCCCGGGATGCAAAACCCGACCTTGTGAGAGAAGGGGCCGCTGCCTGCTCCTGCCTGCTGTCCGCTGTCCATCGCCAGAGCTGCACAGGCCAGCGTAGCCTCTTGTCCAGCTGCTCCCGGGACGAGGCAGGGTTTGGATAAATACGTAAATGCCGCTGCATCTGTGAAGCTGTGCGAACCCTTCCTGCCCGTTAGTGCCAGAGTGCCTTTCCCCTGCTCTCGCCAAGTCAGTCTTCAGCTCCGAATCTCTCAAATCCTCACTCTCCGTTTTGAACTGGGGAACATGTCGCTGGAGATTACTGAAGGAAGTCAGTTTGCCCCGGGCGGAGGTTAAAGAGAATAACGTCTTGATTTCTGCTGATTGGGCTGATGTTTTGCTGAGCGGTTTGTACCTACGATTCTAGTCAGGGCAGGACGGGTGATTCAGGGCGCATTTCTAAACCAGTGTTCCTTCATCACACACAACGCAAGTCCAAACGGGGATTCTGGGAGGTTTACATAGAACACTGCAACAGCCCAGCTGGTGTGGCTCAGTGGTTGAGCATCAACCTATAAACCAGGAGGTCATGGCTCGGGTCCCCGTCGGGGCACCTCCCGGGTTGTGGGCTCCATCCCCAGTGTGGGGAGGGCGCATTTCTAAACCAGTGTTCCTTCATCACACACAACGCAAGTCCAAACGGGGATTCTGGGAGGTTTACATAGAACACTGCAACAGCCCAGCTGGTGTGGCTCAGTGGTTGAGCATCAACCTATAAACCAGGAGGTCATGGCTCGGGTCCCCGTCGGGGCACCTCCCGGGTTGTGGGCTCCATCCCCAGTGTGGGGCGTGCAGGACATTTACATGGGACACGGAAGCCTTTCCGCAAAGGGAAAACACATGAGATCAGAGGAGTCCAGGCAGAGCCATGTCCTGCGGGCGCCTGCCTCCCAGCAGACAGGGCTCAGCGCACAGGCGGGCCGGCACCTGCCTCTGGGCGCACACCCGGAGCCACCGCCCTCTGGGACAGAAGAGCAAGCGTCACACCCTGGGCGTCATGGAAAGGACCTTGGTTGAGGTCATGAGTAATGAGCCCAATAGGATCCGTAGAAGAAAAGCAAGAACTTTGACAAGAAGGCGTCTTTATTAAAAAAAAAAAAAAGATTTTAGAGAATGAGGGAGAGGGAGAGAGAAAGAGAAAAACGTACATGAAAGAGAACCATTGACTGGCTGCCTCCTGCACGCCCCCTACTGGGAATCTAACACTCAACCTTCTGATGCTCATCCAACTGAGCCACAGCGGCCTGGGCATGAAGGCACCTTCACGTGCTTCCCGACCCGGGTGCTGGTCACAGTGTGGCTCATAGGAGTCGTAGGGGCTGGGAGGGGCCAGCACAGCAGTCTTGGTGAAACCGGTTCTGTTTCCTAAACAGTGAAGCATAGAGTCCAATGACAATGCCTGTGTGTCCACTGGCTTTCTTTCCTCGCTCGTCCTGAAATCCACAGAACGCCCTGCGTGTTAACACCCCCATGTGGCTGGGCTCTGCCAGGAGCAGGGCAGTTACCAGCCCGGGCTCCTTGGGCCTCTCCCCCTCTCTGCACCCCCTCAGAGAGATCATCTGGGCCGTGCATTACATGGCACCTGTCCCCTGACGATGCCCACCTGTGTGGCCAGCCTGGCCCTCTGCCCAGAACTCCAGCCCACAGACCCGAGTCCTCTCCAGCGCTGCCTTCAGCGTCCAGCAGTGCTAGAACCAGCCCATCTCCAGAATGCCAGGTCTCCATACAGGTGCGCCCCGTCCCATTCTCCTCCTCTGA